GCTCGAAGTGAATGAGATCTGACTAATGTACGTATCCTGGACTATAAAGCTAGAATCCTCACCTGCATCCCAACTTTATTTATTATAACCATCTTTCTTTTTTCCCTCACCTTTTCCCTCCAAGCAACGTACATAGAATATCATGACTAACATGGAGGCTGTAAAAATACGTGCAAATCTGTGAACTAGCCAAAACTTTTTTGAATTCTCTCTCTGTATTGATCCTCAGAACCTTACAGCCAACTACACATTTACTAATTGTAGCATGCTTTTTCTAACCTCTTTCATTTCAGCTCAAAAATGGATCATGATAATGGTGACTCTGCAGGTACTCTGTAAAATAACCACTGTTTTACTGAATCTCAGCATTACTTTCTTATGTAAAGAACAAGTGCCTGTCTGTGGATACTGTTCTATCTAGTTGTTCTGAATATCTTGTTAGATTACACTAAAAATGAATATGACACGAAATAACAAAAATCATGTTTGAAGTTAGCTGTGTTTTAATGTGGCATTTTGCCAGTTAAATAGTTTTTTAAAAACACTGCTATAGCTGCTGTTTTTGAAGCTGCTTTTTCAGTGCTTCTGCAGGGATGGCATTTATGATAATACTGCTGTATCAGCAAAACTACCAGTACAGGTATTTTACTTTTTATCTTGCTTTATAGCCCTTTATACAAGGCCTTCCTATTACAGTTCTGCTGTAGCATTAATTTTATAAAGGTCCTGAAGGTCATTCTTATTTTCAGTCAAATAACAATATCCAAGGATTTTAATGATGCTCTTGCATTAGTGTTATAATATTCAGAATTGTTATAAAATTCAATAATGTATGAAAATGTCATCATGAGGGATGAATGAAGCAACTCATCTGAAAATGAAAATCAGCCCAAATCTTTGCAGGTGTTTAAAAGCTTAAGGTAATCTCATTTTGTCTCCCCTACCTCCACTTCTCAGATACTTCTACAAGTTCCGGTGCCTGAAATATCATCATAATTGATTTCTTTTTAGACAAAGGAAGTACTCGGAGCTAATTATCTAAACTTGAGCACAGCATTTGGTACAGTGCCATGTGGGAAATTGTTAGTTAAAATGGGAGATTAGTACAGAAATTGAAAAGTGAATAAGAAAGTAGTAGGAGTTGATCAGTACTGGTGAAAGGTTGTAGAGCTTCCCAAGCGTCAGTCTTGGGCCTGATATTGTTTAACATTTCTTATTAATGATGATCCCATAAAAAATAAGCATGTGCTAATGGAATTTACTAGTGGCATAAGGGAGGGAGGTACTGTCACTACAGAGAAGAATAAAACTCTCATTTAGGAAGAACTGAGTGACCTTGAGGACCAATACAGGATAAACTGGATGAAATTCAGAAGGATTAGAGTGCAAGTTCATGCATCTAGGTCTTGTTAACCAGGTTTCTATTATACCTGTGTGCTCATAGGTAAGAAAAGAATAAGGAGGGGAAAGACACAGAACATACAACTCAAGGTGTTTTCACCAGAGTATTGAAACACTGGTAACAGCAGATGAGGCACATGTTAGAAGTCAGCCAGGATAGTGCATGCTATTCACAAATGATTCACTTCATTTTTGGTAAGCTGCCAAAAGAGATGATTAAAGTGACCATGGGAAGGGAGAGCTTTAAATGTGAGAGAGGTTTGGCAAAATGAAGGTTGAGGGAGGCCACTATAAATACCACATGGGCATAAACTCCAGGAAGAGAAAACATCTATTTAAGCTAAAGGACAACATTGGCACAAGAACAAATGAGTATAAATTGGTCATGAATAAATTTAGGATGGGAATTGGAAGCTGTTTTCCAAACAACAGAATAGTGATGTTCTGCATTTGCTTTCCAGTGTGAACAGTGGAAACAACAAAAAAACCCCAAGCTACTTTTAGGATGGAGTATGAGTTTCTGAAAGGGATGTATTTGTTTAAGATTGCAGGGAAGTAGACTTCATGACAAAAGAGGTCCATGCAGGCCAGTCTTTTTAAGCCTGTTTTTCATGACCAAATATTTCAGAGCACTTTTAAGTACTTTCTTTCCTTCATGTATTTTTTAGACAAATTTTTTATAGTACACTGCAGGGTCTGCTACCTGGGTTGATTTAGGGAAGGCAGGAAACTCTGGTGTCCAGAATATGCTGAATACTCTCCAAACAAAACAAGAGAAGTATTCAGCATCCTACAGGGCAAGGCTTAGGATGCTTAAAGAAATCACCATTTTCAGTAGAAGACAATGGGAACTAACTCCAAACAGGAGCAGCACTCCTTTGAGGCTTAATTCTCTGTTGTTGCTCATACTCCCCTGAGCCTGCTGCTCTATTTTGTAGTTTGCCTTCTCAGCCCCACTGCTCATAAGCAGCAGTAAGAAATAGGATGTCATACAACACTTCAGATGCGTAAGATTAAAGAGATAAAAACCAGAGCAGTTAGTTGAGTCTGACTGGGTGCCAGCACTGCAAAGATACAGTGAACATGGCTTGGGGGAGAAGGGAGAAAGGAGGATTTCCCCAGCCTTGGTGGTGTGGTGCAGAGCTGTGCTAGAAGTGCCACAGTTTCCCTCTTCTCAGCCCAGGAAGCACCTTTGTCCTTTGGTTTGGTTTATCCTGCTATGTGCCTCAACACTTGCTTAGTGTGCCTTGTTCCAAAATGCAGTAGTGTATACTCAATGCATAGTTAATGTGGTCATAAAGGAATTTGTATGGAAGACTGTGCTTCGGGGTTCAGTAGCTGGAGTTTTATGGGTTCCTTACCCACAAAAGCAAAAGTAGGTGTTTGCAGCTCTTTTATAGTAACAGATACAGCTTCATCAAAGTCCTGGGCTGAACTGGTAATGTGGTGACTCCCTTATTAAGAGAGCATCTCATAGTTAAATGTTTCATGATTTCGTACCTATACATTAGTTGAAATCTGATGAGTAGGACAATGAGATCTGCAGAATTGAATGATTCTGTTTTGTTTTTTTTTTTTCAGCTAACTACACACACACTTTTTCTGAAATCTACTCCTAATATTGAGAATAGGTGAAGAAATGGGAAAGTTAGATGAAATCCCCAAAGAGTACAGGTAGTTTGGAAAAGGAGAAGAAATAGATAGCAGCTTTACGAGAGAGCAGTGCTTTGCTCACATCTTGTCACCATACACATTAATCACATTTGCAGTAGGCAGGAGCTCTCCTTTTTTTTGTGCAAATACTTTTAAAAACAGGTTTAAAAAACTGAGCAGGGTAGCTGAGTCCCTAGGTTCACATAAATGGGGTAATGAACACCTGCATTACAAGAGATAAAAGTCATAAACACGGTGGTGGAAGCTCTCAGTCCTTCTTCAGCTGAGGTTTTCTGCTGTTCTCTCAGGTGCAAGGCAGGGGGGTAGCCACGTGCTGGGTTCTCCCTGCAGGGCAAAAAGCTCACAGTACCTCCAGAAGCTGCAACTTTGCCCTCAGTGGCTTTGGTGCAGAGCCTCACTTGCGAGCTACTCTGTGGCTCACTGTCAAAAATGCCAATCCTTCAAAAGGAAAAGATAAATCTAGCTGGAAAAAAAAAAGATTTTCAAGAAAAAATTATAATAAAGGTCAGAATTGAAAGGCATGCACTGTGAAATGGTCGAGAGAAAACATTTTGATAGATTGAAACTCAGACAGAGAAGTCCTTATTTTTGGTGTTTTTTAATTGAATTTTTGTTCCTGAAACTGAAGCAGGTGAAGTACAGGTTAGATGTAAGGCAGATTTGGTGCCTCACTATCCTCTTTACTGTGAGGCTGCTGAGGCACTGGAACTGATTGCCCAGAGAAGGGGTAAATGCTCCATCGTTGGCAGTGTTCAAGGCCAGGCTGGGCAGAGCCTAGGGTGTCAGGGTCTAGGGTGAGGTGTCCCTGCCCATGGCAAGGGGGTTTGGAACCAGACGATCTTAAGGTCCTTTCTAACTCAAACCATTCTCTGCTTCTGTGAAATGTCTGTATCTACAGAGTTATTTTTTCATCAATCCTTCAACCAGGACACAGTATTCTGTGAGCCCTTAGGTGAGATGATTTCATTCTGCCCTGTCCTACTAGCAAACTCAATTTAAAATGAATCAATCATAAGCACGGCCTGTACTTATCACCGTATTTTAGCGAGTTATTATTCAGGTGCCCAGATGTGAGAACGTGGCTCATTGGGGAATGCAGTGGCCTTGAGACAGGGATGAATTACTCCCTGAGCTCACTGCAGCCCATGGGGGCTGGCCTGGTAGCCATGGTTGTGAGGGCAGCACCACCAGGAAACGTGCTCAGTTTTTCCATGGGTGGAAATATCTACGGGGGTATAAAAGCACATTATCAGTTTGTTTGCAAACAGACCCATGTGCAAGCACGTGCGTATGGGAGCTTTCAAGTGACAAGCATACTGAGGAAATGCTTGTGGCCACAGTAGGTGAGACATGGCCCTGTCAGTCACCGCTCTGGATTTCGGCTGCCCGCTCACGCACCACACGAAGGCGGCAGCAGCATCGGTGCAGTCAGGAAGGATGTGAGGGGCCTCCCTCCCTGCACTGAGGCTTGTGCGTGCCTCCAAGCAGAACTAATGAGCACCTCTGGCATTAACAATGATTGAACATCACCAAAGCCTATGAAAATAACCACTCGAGGTAAATCAGGTGAGGCACTGCAGCAGCTGCCATGGAGCAGGGGTCATTCTTGGCACCTGAGGTGAGTGGCCTGGTGGGGCACGTACAGCAAGGCCAGTTTGTTTCCTCCAGTTTCAAACCCCTGGGGATTATAAGAATAAGAGGTTTAATCCCCACTTTGCAGAGGATTTTGGGGTCCTGTTTCACTATTCTTTGTCTCCCCTTGGGTTAACATCAGAGGAGACAAGGTGTTGACAATGGTGCCACAGTCCTGGCCTCCCTGCCTGACCCTGGGCAGCCATCAGCCCCGCAGCCATCGTGTCATGGGGAGCCGCATGGGGTGGGCAGTGAAATGACACCTCTTTGTGCAAGCTGTGATGCCATTAGGACGTTACAGCCTACAAAAAAGGAAAACAAAAAGGGGCAAAGGAAAAAAAAACCCACTAAAAAGCTGTGTTCGTTCTTCACTCTTCCCTCAGTGCTGTCTTACCTTGTGCAGAGGCTTCAGAGGTGTGAACACATCCTGTTTACATCTGCCACTCAGACAGAGATGCTGAGGGGAGCACAGGGCTGAAGGAGCAGTAAGAGGCAACACTGTGCATGGGGAGAGTCACCTGCAGTGGGAGACGGCCACAGCATGGATGCACTGCCCATCTACCATGGCGGCATCACCCGTGAGTCTGGGGAGAAGCTGCTGCTGGCAGCAGGCACTGATGGCAGCTACCTGCTGCGGGACAGCGAGAGCATCCCGGGAGCCTACTGCCTCTGTGTGCTGTGAGTGCTGGGGTGCTGCTTGGGAGTGCGGGGCAGCCGAGGGTAATGGGGCTGGGAGCAGGGTGCCGGGGTAGGCTGGTCAGGGGATAGCTGATTTCCAACCTTTGCATCCACAGAATGGGGTGTTTCCATGTAATGGTGACAAAATACATTGTAATATTACCATCTGCAGACATGTGAGGCTCTTGGCTCCTTCACCTTGACTTAAGGTGAAAGGATGCATAAGGGGTTTGGAGTCCTCTGTAGAGCAAAGAGGAGCAGGTTTTGCCATGCAGAGCCTATGTCTCCTATTGGCATAAAAAAAGAAAAAAGGCCTGGAACACACAGAAAAGGCAAGTGAGGGGTTATGGAGAAGAGCTAGGCAACTTCACTCGGGTTGGTGTGTGCTGCCTCTTTGTGCTGGATAATCCTCTTGCTTTCTGCCCTCATCTTCTGCTTCTTTAATGTGCCCACGGGAGTGCTTAACCACATCCCCAGCATCTCCTGCCATTGGGAAGGGTAGCATGGACTGCTGCCATCCAGAATGTGCCTTTTGGGATGCTGTCAGTCAGGCTGTGTGTCCCAGGAGCTGTCAGGCTTGAAGTAAGCTGCTGCAAAATACATGAAATACTGATGGGTAACAAACTAAGTGGAAATGTTTCATCAAATATGGTCAAAGGCGAAAGATCTGATGGGATGGTCTGTCAGAGGGTAGAGAGGATTCCCTGAGAGAGCTGAGGGATTTTATAGTCATAGGACCTTATTTTAATGAGACAATTTAATTGCTATACTTCTGGCAATAGCAGAAGTCTAGTAAGTCCTGAGAGATAACGCTGTCCAATGAAGTACCATTGCCTCGAAAGAACAAAGATGTGTCTACCACAGCTAAAGAGACACTTCAGTAGGAGAAGGAATACAAGAGAAAACCATTTTAGAACCAGCATGAAATTAGCTAACAGAGTGCACTCAGGTACCTGACAAAACCCCAGAAAACTCCTGAGTCAGATTTTCTCCAAATGTCTTGAATATGTTTCCAACAGTATGTAATTAAGCCCTGGGTGATCATTATTATTCATCTATTATAGACCAGTAAAGGGAGGCATGCAAGAAGGTTACAGGCAACCCAGCAATATCCAACATTCTTTTTAGGGAAGATCTCTGTGGCAGAAGATGTATTTTTTTCTTCATGAACTCAGGATAACCAAGGTAGGCACTGCTGCTAACAAATACCTTAACAGCTAGTTGAAAAATGGGAAATAAGAAGCAGCTTGAGCATTTTGAAGATGGACTAGACACAGCAAGAGGTAGGGAGTGCTATGATTCCTATGATGGGAATAGGCAATAAAAGCAGAATCTCTTTTAAATAACAATCAGAGGAAATGGCAATATATCTCCTTAACACTCAGAAGTCTTTCAGTGCAGGTGAAACACTAAGGCATTAGAGACGGGGTCAGGCAGAATGTTACAAAGCTGAATAAAATAGAGAATCCTAAAATCACTCCATCATTAGTCTAAATCAGGGTGTAGATATCTAATGAGGTCTTTCATCTGCACACAATCAGTTGGGACTTTTTGCTGTATTAGTGGTAATTTAGGTCTTTTGGAAGAAATTTTAAGATTGAAATATATAAAATGAAAAAAAAGAACAGAAAGGAGTACTAACTATGAAGCTCTTCAGTCTTTGGAAGAAAAGGCACTGCAGTGAGAAACATAACCCTACCTAATTGTTTCTGGAAATTACGGGCCATTCATGTCTTCATGTTATGTTGTGTTCAGACATATATATGATAAGCAAAGGGGTAAAAGCAAAAAATTTTACTGGTGAATGTTATGCAGACTTCTTATAGAACATGTATCCTCAATAAAGCTTTTATAAGGGAAAGTTTCAATAGCATCTTGGATAAATCCAGACAAAAAATTAAGTGAAAAATGCTATGATGAGTATGATCTGATATAGACAGAAAGGTGGCTGAAAAATGCTAGAGCTAACCCTTGGTTCTAATGCTTCTTAATATTTCAATTCAGAGCATTATGTAAGAAATAGAAGATACGGTAAAAAAGCATATCACACAATAACTGTGGAGACAGTTATCGTAAAGATACCAGGAAATCGTCTCACATTGAAGATAGCAATGACAATTGAAAGAAATGTAGGCTATAAACTAAAGAAGTGCTTTGGCAAGCAAAAATTTGCCAAAGCAGAGGACTCTAGTGGGAGCAAGCAGGGAAGGCACAACAGATGTAGATAAGTATTCAACAGAGGATGCTAAGCCTAGCTTTAGCAAAATAAAGCAATGGATCCAACCATCCAAATTCCATTCTGGACATCATGCACAGAGATGAAACAGGTGGCAACCGTGTATGTGCATGAGAGCTTTGGTGAAAACTGACAAACATGCTGTTGCTGTATTCACTGCTAAAGAAAAAAGGAAAGAAGAAAAGTAAAAGAGAAAGTATTTCTCTGCTGTTTTATATTTCCATCTAAGTAAATAATAGAGATTATTAGGAATAAAAAAGTTATTCAGAAATTTAAATTTCGGTTCAGAATCCATGCTGCAGATCACTCTAGTAATACCCAGATATATCAAGATCAGGTAAAAGATGTATATACTGGAGTCAAAGCTGTTCAGTCATTAGATATATTGCAGTATGTATCAAGGCTAAACAAAATATTTTACATCTTTCTAATGACAATTTCTTCTTAAGGATCTTTTTTTCCACAATGGGGGAAAAAGGGAGTTGTCAAAATCAAAAGGCACATTTCTGATGAAGAGAAACATCTATATAAAAAAAAAATCATTTAACAAATATTTGGGTGTCAATACTGTCATCAGCTTGAAATCACATAGGTGGCCACTCTGCACTTCCAGCTCCAGGTACAGTAACTGGAAAATCCTATGACTGCCACTGCATTGCTTAGGTTCAAACAACACCTTTGTTTTCCGAACAAACAACTGCATAAATCTTTAATGCGACCACCTCCATAACACCCTCCCCCCCGGGCACCCCTACAAATCCCCAACATATTTTGGAAGTCTTTGAGCCTCCTAAGGCACATAAGAAGGGCACCAGTGTTCATGATTAGGCTCATTCACCTTTTGCTTTTCCAATTAAAAGCAGAGCCCTGACCTTTAAAAAGGAGACGAGCCAAAGACTTCATGAATCCCTTGTGACTGATTTTACAGGGCAAGCATAAAAGAGACAGGTAGTAACATAAAACTTGACCTACAGAGATGGGTAACTGCGGCAGGCAGGACCCTGTTCTTGGAGCATTTGGTTAGAAAACTGCTTCTCTCTTTGTTTCTCCTGAAGTGTTGCTTTATCTTCTTTGAATGTCACAGTGCTGTCCGAAGTCAGTGTTCACATGGCATGTCTGCAAGCCTTCAAAGAATGGCTTTTTTTTTGGTGTGGCTGTGGCAACGCACTAAGAACCCACTTTTATAAATATAGAAGACCACAATTAAACCCTGCATAGAAGAATGGAAAGGTTTTGGTTTGCAACCAAACACCAGCTTGTCCCTTGGGGCTCTTACAGAGGTGGTGCCTGCAGTTTTTGCTGAAGTTTTTTAATACCAAATTCTCCCAAGATCTTCATTGTATGAAGATTATTAAATTGATAATATGTACTTTAAGGATGTTGTTCATCACATTTTGAGTCTGTCAACAGAGGAGCATAATATTTTTCTGGAAATTCTTTAGTGCTGCATTGAAAAGCAAGAAGAGTTTTGCTGTTCCTGACAACTGGGCAAGAAGAAAATGCATATGCTTTAAAAAATATACATATATTCCCTGTAAACATGGTAGACAGTACATGCAGTACACCAGGGTTTTAGTATCAAAACCTGATTGTTCCAGGGAGCTTTCTTTACTGCTGTGGTTCCCTCTTGGCTCAACACCCCATTTGATGCTTTTAGCACTCTCAGAAACCCTCTGTGCACACTACTCCTAATGTCAATGGGGAACACAGGCCACAGTAATGGTAGGTAGTTTGAGAAACAGCCTCTTAATCTGTGCCTGGAAAATGCATAAATAAAATGCCTGAGAGTGCCAAAAGCACCACTTTCATTTACAGATATATGAGCACACATACAGAAACAAGCAGCTCATGCCTGAACTGGCAAAGATAAAGCACTTGTAATTTGGGTCTTAAAATTAATATGCTTGAAAATACTTGGTATGTTAGTAGTTGCTTCAGACCTTTAAGTAAGCTAAACATGACACACTTGTCAAACTGTGTGTTTTGATTGTTTGTTTGTAACCAGCCGTTCATGTACTGTGCTGCATTCAATTTGTGCAGAATAATCAAAAGCTGAAATGGAAACCTGTTTAGAGCTCTTGAAGCAGCAGCAATGGCAACAGGGATGGCTGCAGTCCTATCAGATTTTATGCGTGCTATTCTTTCTGTCACCGTAACCACAGTGCGCAAGTTCATGCGGTGTGCTGAACCCTTCTGATGCATCAGATGTATCAGCTGTATAGTCAAGGTGTGATACAGGATCATGAGCCAGCTTCAGCTTAGCATTTCTTTTGTTTCCTATGTAATATTTTTGATAGAAGTGGCAGAATAATTGCGTTTATTATAACACTGCACATAATCATCCTTTAAAATGTAATTTGGAACAAAAGCTTCTCTCTGAGGAGGAAGCCCTCAATTCACAGTTGCCATTGTAAATATCACACACTATTTTCAGCTTTGAAAAAAGTTTTCTACAGCACAGTGACATATTCTACTGAAGTGAGTATTTTAGCTCCCTGCTAATCAGTGAGCTTTGTCTTTGCTGAGAATAGCTTGGCTAATGGCCTTCGGATATTCCAATGGCTTTTCTTGGAAAGATCTTAGAAAGGCAGACAGCCTGAATGGTGGATAAGTGCTACACTAATGAATCTGTACATGACAGAATGGGCACAATCATTAGGTAGCAGAACCTATATTAACTCTACCCCCATTTTGTAGGCTTGAGTTTTGCGGATTTAGTTGAAGCAACGATTTCTGGCTCAGGGATTTTTATAGTTAGATTGTG